TATATATATATCGCAATTCTGGAATACCATCAACTCAACAATTAAATGGAAGCAGTATCAGGAACAATGTTAATAGTAATTTACATTGGCTGTGTTCAGCAAAAGGTTTATTTTGTAACTGTTGAAAGTTTTCATCTAAGATAGGATTATCCCTACAGATTTAAAAGCGTAATTCAATCAGCGCGAAGAAAACTTCCAGTTGTAAAATAAATATTCTGTTGAACGCGATCATGTTAAATTGCTTTCTCAAACAAAATATTTCATAATTTCCAAATAAAAAAAAAAATTAAAAAATTATTATTATTATTGAAAGTATCAGGGAAAATCAGGAAATTTTATCAGGAAATCAGAAAAAAGTTATAGAATTTTAGGATGAGAAATTTGTGAAAATCTTACATCAATATCGATTAAAATTTACAAAAATGCAGGTTTTTTATGAAAGAAATATTAAACATTCAGCAAATAATAAAAATTTGTTATGGGATTTTTGAATTTACTGAGATTATGGGTTTTTCAGCAAGGACACAGTCAGATACAGTGTAACACAGTGATTTACATTACATCTTTATTGTTTGCCTATGTTAAACAAGGATAAAATCATTCATTGTTATCCACTGTCTGACTATGACCTTAGAAAGCACCCTATGTAAACTTAAATGTTGGATATTTTCAATCAAAAGCAATATATTTTCAAACAGAATTATCATATGAAATTGTTCTTATTGCACAAACAAATACACGATCTTTTTTTATTAACTACATGAAAGAAAAATGTTTGGTATTTGTAGCTATAATTACATATTACTATAATTATATTTATTACTATTATAATATTAATAACAGTAACCATATATATAGTTCTAGCAATAAATATAGTTAGCAATCTATAAAATGATTATAATTATAGTTATTATAACCATAAAAATAGTTGAAATTACCACAAAAACAATTCGAATGATTATAATTTGAATAATTTTTATGATTATAATAATTATAATTATAGTCGTTTTATAGATTATTAATTATATATATTTATTATTAGAATTATACGTATAGTTATTACTAATATTATAACAGTAATAATCATAATTATAGTAATATGCAATTGTAGTAACACCAAAAAATTTTCTCTGTAGCAATTTTTTACCAGTACCAATCATAATAGTTTTATTGTTTGATTTTCAGAAAAATTTTAGAGAATTAAATCGAGTCATGAATAATGTCAAAATTTGCCGACATTACCAAAAATCTCAGATCTTAAAATAAAAATTACGTTTACGTAACATCAATCATCTTGAATAAAAATCTTATTGAATAGAGAACAAATAAAATGGATATAGATATCTGTACTATTATTAATCTATAATTATTTTATATTTTTTATAAAATGATAAATAATTGAAAATCAAACGACATTAATATTTTAATTACTGTAGAAAATAAATTCTGTGAAACTTATTCTAGACCTTATATTAGATCTTAATTGTTCTAAAAATAATGTATTTCAGCATTCGTTATGATGTAATTTATAATGTATTCAAAAACACTTTCGTATTGCGAGTACTTGCAAACTGCTTTGATAAGATTAACATTTTCGTAACATACATAGAACATATACATAGAACGTTGCAAATCAGTAACTGCGAAAATAAAACATGGGTTTGTTAAATATACGATTTGATAACAGCATGTTTAATAACATTCTGTCGAGTAATAACAAATTCGATTGAAAGAACAGTATAATAGTACAGATTAAAAGTATATAGTTATTTATATGTAGAATTATAATGTAACATAAAATGTCTAGCTTACAAGAAAACGTGCTACATTGAAAAATTGATATAAACAAAACTAATGTTATTAACCGAAAGTATTTTTAAAAACCATATTTGAAGCAAGTATTCTAGATGATCAAATATTGGGATCCCATGGATTCTATTATATCTGACTTGGGTTAGAACGTGTTTGGAGACAAAATATTTCAAGAATAATGTAGTTGAACCCAATAAGATTTTGCACAAAATATTGGTAGCTCATCTGATACTTTTTAAACTCTACAACTTTTATTTGAAATATTTTTTTTCAAAAATGCATTGTTCTCAAGATATTTTGTATTTAAGTTAAAATAGCCGAACATGTTTCGACCTTTGTCGGGTACAGAATTTCAAGAATTTTAAGATCTGATCATCTAGAATATCTATTTCAAATGTGATCTTTCGACTGATGTTAGTTTTTTTAAAATCACTTTTGCAATGTAGCACATTCTCTTGTCAGTGAAATATTACACATATTTTGCCAAATATACTAATTAATTGTGCTACATACTTCACTAACTTTCAAGTTTCATTATATAATTCTAGCTATACAATTTTGGTACATTCAATGACAGCAATTTATTTATGCGTATAAATCAGTGAACATTTCAACCGAATTCGTTATAATCTCTCGTCTTTTCTTTAAAATCTTAGTTGTTATATATTTTAGCATACATGTTTACAGTATAAGTCAGTATTAAACTTTATTAATTATTTTACTGATTTAAATATGATGAAAATATAATAAAAAAATTACGAAGTGTAATTGTTTAATCCTCGAATTTAATGGAATTAACATGTGTATCTATGTGTCCACCGCGGTAAGAACCACGCTTTTTTTTTTGCTTCTCATGTCGAAACTTCTTGCCCTTTGTAAACTTCAACATTTCATTAGCGCGTTCTCCCCATGATCCTCTTGCACCTTTCTATAGAGGAAAAAAATAAATGTTAAACATCTTTACATTTCTTAAAGATTAAAAAATTATATCTTTGTAGTACAATCCCGATTTTTCCCTCACCTTTATATACATTTTTATTATTAATCATCAAAAGTGATTCTTTTATTTTGAGGTGGGCCTGCGATATCGAAAGATTTTCTTTTATCAAAACCACCCCTAAAGCCTCCTCTATTATTCTCATTGTTTCCCCATGATTTTCTGGGTCCGTCATTATCCCTGTTTCCTCCCCAAGATTTTCTGCCATCGAAACCACCTCTACCGCCACCTCTACCACGACCACCTCTAAAACCACCACGACCTCCGCGACCACCCCTATCATTATCGTTGTTCCTATATCCAGCATTATCACCACTGTTGCTCCAACGCCCACCCCGATCGCCACGTCCACCTCTAAAACCGCCATGACCACCCTCGTCACGTCCTCCTCGGAAACCACCCCTACCGCCTCTAAATCCACCCCTAAATCCACCTCGTTCGAAGTTTTGTTTTTTAAAACTGTTATCATCATCTTCATCCTAAAACAAAAGAGGAATAGGTCAGTCGCCCATACTAGAAGCATGTTATTACAAAACAATTTATGTCTTTCTTTTTTTCTTGCTTTTATTCGTTTTAGATTTTAAAATTTGGATAAATTTGGTGAATGCACGGAAACATAGTCTCAAGCAGGGTCTCGAGCTTTTGTAAAAAGGGCGAGCGACCTATGCCTCTTGGACGGTTTCCAAGCATTTACCTTTGCTTCAAACGAATTATTAGCCAACTTAGGATCCAATACGATGTCTTCGCTTTTCACACGCTGATATGTACGATTTTTCTGCCACTAAATAAAAATCACAGGTGATAAAAAAAAATATTTATATCATTTCTCAATAACGTAAAATTAAGGTAAATATACTAATTAGGCCCAATATTTTATTATTAGGTTAACTTAATGTTAAGCTTAACTTGATGTTTCACTCAATAGGCTTCACCTATGACATAATCACAGATGAAACCTATTAGATAAAACATCAGATTAAGCTTAATGACAAGTTAACCAGGAAATGAAAAACCGGACATTAGGAGATATGATCCAATTATTGGATGAACCGATACAAAATTTTAAATCCATTTTAATATCCAGCTTTTAATATGTACAACCCTAAATAAATTCGTTACTTATAAAAATTTAATAACGAATTTATTTAGAAACATATTATTATTGGAAGCTTAATATTTTTAATTTTTGTTATCTCGTTCAATAATCGAGTCATGTCCACAAACTGATATATTTACTTTAATTGTTACTTAAACATAGCAGTAATGATTGCATTCAAAAAATGAAAACATTTATTGAATGGACGATTGAATTAATGTGCAATTCTCAAACTTTTTAATGACTTTTGCGAGAATATATTTATCACTTTTCATTCAATTTAGCCAATTTTCCATTAAAAATGTGAGACTGTATTTTAGACCGTATTTTATATAAAGACTTTTACATATACATAATATATAATATATATATGTATGAGTATATGTGTGTGTGTATTTGTGTGTGTGTGCGCGCGCGCGTATGAGTACATACCTTATTTCCATTGAAGCTATTATTAGCTTCTTTCACAAAGTTGCCATAACTATTTCTTGCAGCTTTTGATGGTATTTGTTCTTCATCATTATCAGCGTGTTTCCTTTTTTGACCTTTGTTGACTTCAACTGGTGTGTGAACTTTCATTTTCTCTTTATTGGAGTTGTTGGAGTCTGAATCAGATTCGCTCGAGGATTCTTTTTTGGCGATTGTCTTGGCCGATGCTGTTGTCGGTGCCTCATTGTCGGAATCATCTTCTGAATCTTCGCTAGAAGATTCCTTCTTCTTCTGTGTTTTACTAATCGCCACTTTCGGTGCTGCTGTTGTCGTTGGTTTTTCTTCTTCATCAGATTCGTCCTCTGATTCCTCGCTTGATGAATCTTTTTTCTTTACAGAACTAATTTTATTAGTATTTTGATTAGTGAGAGCTGGCGTTTTATCAAGCGCTGTTTTCGTTGTTGCTGGTTTTTCTTCTTCATCGGATTCATCTTCTGAATCCTCGCTTGACGAATCTTTCTTTACAGAACTAATTTTATTAGCAGTACTTTGATTAGCGAGAGCTGATTTTTTAATAGGTTTTTCATCTTCGCTACTTTCTTCGCTCGAGGAAGATTTTGTTTTTTTAGCAGAGACTGCCGGAGTTGGTTTCTTAGCAACGACTGCTGGAGTTGTTTTCTTGGTGATGACTACTAGAGTTGGTTTCTTAACAGGCTGCTCTTCTTCGCTATCGTCGCTATCATCGCTATCTTCGCTTGAAGACTCTTTCTTGGTAGTTAATTTTACTGATGCAACTGGTTTATTGGGAGCTATTTTTTGGGGCGTTTCTTCTTCGTCGCTGCTTTCTTCACTCGATGAGGACTCTGATTTTTTAACTGCTTTTGCTGGCGCTGGCTTATTCTGATTTTGTGTCTTCAAAGTTACAGCAGCTTTTGTTGCGACTGCCTTATGTTCCTCTTTGCTGCTCTCTTCTTCGCTTGAAGAAGAACCTTTTTGCACAGCAATTGACGAAATTGATTTCTCAACGGACTGCTGTTCGTCACTGCTATCATCGTCACTAGAAGATTCTTCCATGGTAGTTTGTTTTGCTGGCACTGTAGATTTACTGAGAACTTGTTTTTTCTGTACATTCTCATTCAATGCAGCCACATCATGACCTTTGCTCTTGTTTGTAACCAGTGTTGCTGATTTATTCTGTTTTTGTAATTGTGTCTTTGAAGCTGCATTCGTTATAGGTGTGGATGTCTTCAGTGCTAACTGTTTAGTAGTTTTTGAATTTACCATTTGAACATCAGGACTCCCTGAAGATGAATCGCTGGAAGTTGAATCATGTATTCCCTTAGCTGCTCTCTCTAATCGAATAGCATTAGCCATTGCCTTAGCTGCTTTTTTAGCTTTAGCAACTATTTCTCTTTCATAACTCTCCCTTTCCTTCTGCACATAAATAGGGATAGCATTTAGTTTTTTTTGTAATTCTGGAGTTATTCTATCTCTATTACAATCATCTTCACTAGAATCATCTTCCGAGGAAGAGGAAGATTCCATTATCTCTTTAAGAACCACTGTCTCCACTGCTTTGCCATTAACTTGTGCATTTTTTTCTGTTTCTTCTTCTTCTGTTTCATCACTTTCTGAGCTCGAATCTGAACTGCTTTCCTTAGTCACTTGTGTGACTAATGGGATCTTTTTGGGAGAGTTTTTTTGGAAATACTTAATTATTTCCAATAATGTTGGAAATTCTTTTCGCAGGAGAGGCTGAAATATACAAGCATTGATAAAACAATTATTGCCAATTATATGCAATATTTGGTAATTTTAAATTGTTACAATAAAAATTACGACAATGTGCAGATGGTATGGAATAATCGAGAAAGATCACGTTGGGAGCGTTCAAGCCGCGTTGTACCCACGTGGTGTTAACGAGTATGGCGCTAGACGGTACTTTGGTGCCGCATGGCGCGTGGCGTCGGCCATCCTTGCGACTTACCGCTTTCGTCTTCTTCTGGAAAACCGTCGCCAACGATGCATCTTTCTTTAACAAATAGTTATGCACGAGACCAGCTACTAACGATTCCTCAGCGTTACTCATGGTGCCAGGTACGTATGCCAATCGCAAATAAAGAAGACCAATAAATTCGCGACGAATGTCGCTTCCTCAGCTTCCTGTCTCGCCGGCTTTGCTACTTGCAGTGGCCACTTATTTCACTTGTGATGTCGTGTCTGCGGCGCTGCTGTTATTCAGCCAGGATTCGCATAGAATAGATTTATAGATAGATTTCTAAATATGATATATGCACCGAAAGAAATCAACCAATCCACGCGTCTAACTTAAAATAAATAAACGTTTTCTATTGGTTCGTGCCACAGAACACAGAACGTGGCAACGCTTGCGCGGCGGAAGTTGGCGCGATAGCCAATCAACATCATTTTCAGCGTCAAAATAGATCACGTGGTCAAAATTGATGCTTGATGTTCGTCAATTTCTATCACGTGACTTATTTAACGTTGAAAATGATATATCTATTACTTCCGAGAAAGCGAGACGGTGATTGGCTATCAGTTTTGTGAGACCATTCGAGCGAGTCGGATGTGTTTCCTTTCGAGTGTTGCGTCACCTCGATTATATTGTATTTTTGAGAAGCGCTGCCGGCTTCGATTGTGCCTCAGCGATGCGAATTCCGGGCTGCTTACAGCACGAGTATTAGCATGAAGAGAGCATAGATGGACTCATACGCATGCGCAAATATACACGAATATGGATTCATCATAGTGTATATATCTTCTTATGTCCCTTTCATGCTAGTAACTGTGCTGCAATCGACTCGGAATTCGCATCACTGCTGTGCCATTGCATTCCACAGTCCATTCGTCTTGGCCATGCGGCGGAAGTGTCGTAGTCGCAGGCGTCCAGTGTTTGAAGGGAAAATGGCCTCGCCATTTCATTTTAATTCATCTTTTTGTTTTACTCGCCCGCCCAGCAAAGAATCGATTAAAATGAATTGAAATTTTTTTCTATCCAAATGCGTATTTTAAATAGCGAATACTTTTTTTTTGGATTTAATTGGATTCAATTGGATTCAATTGAATTCAATTAGATTTAATTGGATGGAATAGTAATAAACCGTCGTATTTTGAGAGGTTAAAATAATTTGATGCTGATTGATATGATGGAATTGCGTAATGTCGAGACGAATGAAGCAAAATGACAAAATCTGAGTGCATAAATATAGATACCAAGATCAAAAAAACAATGATGCATTATGTGCGATTTCAATACTCTTTTCCGCACTTTTGCATCACGTCAGTTTTGTATGTTATGTCTACACGATGCGGAAAAATGATAGTAAATGCGTTAAAGCAATTTAAAAAATTGTTATGAAATTGTAAATATTAATTGTAAAACATTAAATACTACAACAAAGATAATTATTTTTACAATTTGAGAAAAATTATATTTTATTTTACTGAGCAAATTATTAACATGAAGTTAATAGTTTTTAAATTATATTCATGCTGGATACATATTTGACGCATCATGTGAACATAGCACACAAAACTTGCGTAATGGAAAAATGCGAAATAGTTCTAATTGGTTGCTTCAATGACGCATTCTGTATTCCACAGTCCTATTCCGGACCGTGTTTCATCCTTAAGCAGCTCATGAAAATATACCTTTAAACAAGTTTTCAAATTGCGCGGTAAAATTTTAGCGGTTTTAGCACACTCTCTTGCACGTGATTGGTCGATTGGATTGGTCGAATCTGATTGATTGTCGTTTCTTTTCAAATTCGTAAACCGGTATGTGCTGATTGCCAGTGTGATTTTCCGACAATCTTATTGCGATTCGACTGTTTTGCAACATGACTGAAACACAACAAAAGACTAAGTGTATTACTTTAAAAGGCTCTGCCGAGTTGGTCTCGCAATATCTGCGTAAGTATGATTTTAGTAAGTCAATTTTCGTCTTGAGATTTCTAACCTTTCTTTGATTGTTATCCTTTGTTACAGTCTATGGAGTCAATAGTATACTCTATCAAAGAGGGATATATCCGCCAGAGACTTTCACGCCCTCCGAACATTTCGGTCTATTCATCTTCACGTCCACGGACGAGAAGATCACATCTTTCTTAAATACTGTGCTGAGACAGATTGAAGAGTGGCTCGTCCAGCGCAAAGTGCATAAAATCACACTCGTCATAACAAATGTCAATACAAAGGAGGTGCTGGAGAAGTGGGATTTCAAAGTCGATTATGAAGATCAGAAGGCTAATGTAACAGATGGCATCATTAAGGGTGATTTGCCTGAAGTAGGGACGAAAGATGTAAAAACTATACAGAAAGAAATACGCGAAGTAATACGTCAGATCACAGGTAATATGAAACATTCAGTGTTATTTGAAATAAAATATATCGCTATGATATATCTTAAAGCATGAAACACTAGCGATATTGTTGCAGCGTTGAATGTTCTATGCTATATAGAATTTAAGATGTTGAAATCAATATAATACAAAATATTCTTATAGGTACTGTAAGCTTTTTACCACTCTTGGACTGCCTATGTTCTTTCGATATACTTACGTACACAGTACCTGACTGTAACATTCCCAACCAGTGGGACGAGACTCAGCCAGTTTTTATTGCAAACAGTCAAGAGGTACAACTTAGATCATTCTCAACCTCTTTACATAAAATGAATACTGTAGTTAGTTACAAAAATACCTGAGCCTATTACTGTTCTATATGTAATGTTCTATTTGTAAATACAAATTTCATTTCAACTACATATGTGTTAACTATCATTACCAAAGACTGTATTGTTCCATACAGATTACTGATTAAATGTCAACAATACTTTTTCACACACAATACGTTAAATATAAATATTAAATTCAAATTAAAATAATATATTAAATGTATTTAGTAAAACATTACATTCGTTAATGTTTGTCACTAGTATGTCAGGTATTTGTGTGACAAATATATATGTATTTTAATGAAAATCAGCATATCTTTTAAATATGAGTAAAGTATTAAAAGAAAAGTACAATTAAACATATTAATTACTTTTAGATCTTTTGATAATATAAATTAAAAAAATTAAATTAGGTTTTTTTTATTAAAATAATTATAATTTTTGTTTTCTTTTATTTAACTATTTTAGATTTTAATTTTAAATGTAGTTTTATTGCTATTTTTGCATTAAAAAATGAAGATTTATAGAAATTATATAGGAAAAAGAGTAAGGGAAACATATGGAACATTGATAAGAGAATCTTGGCAGATTTTATTAAAACATAATTGACCTTTACATTTAAACACAAGAATTACATTTGCGTACTTGGCAAAGCATGAGAGATACGACTAGAATAAAGTATTTTCGCTTGTCGACGCTTCATAGTAATCATCTAATGCTAGCGTCTTCCAGTGTAAAGCTTTTCTCACATGAAATCTCGTTGCTGATACTAGCCTCAACCATTTCCTAACGATTCCTCGCGTTATGCTCCATCTTTAAAATATTCTAAACGAAATCATGCATATTCAAAAAATAATTCGAAAGATCAGCGTCGTGCTCTTTTAATTTTAAGTAAATCATATATTTTACAAACATACTTGTAAATACAAGTGTGACATATTCAATCATAATCTGCCTCATTTGGGTAGAAATTAAATTAAGTAATAAAAATCATTTTGTGCCTTACACACACTATCATTTGTCCGCGATGCCCGGTAATTGGCACTCGATTTGATAACAAATCTAAATGAATGAGAATAATTGCCTTTTATTCGAATAATCGGCGCTTGCTTTGAAGATTAATAAAAGTTTATACATGTGTGAACAAGCATCTCTGAAGCAATCTTAAAATATTAAAAAAATTAGTAAAATTTGCAATGAGAATTTTTATAAAGATATTACCAAGGATTTCTGAAGAGCATTATCTTAATTATATAAGTACTCAAATACTTTTATTGCTATATGTAAATTGTATGTTTTTCATATGTCTTTATTCCATAATTTTAAATGATTAATATCTGTTACATTATTTGAAAGATGCATCTTTATTTCTTTTTTCTTATATTTTACATTACAATCTGCAATTGTAAACATTTGCCATTTTGCATAATAATTAAACATAACAAATGAAATTTGTTCTTTAACGTAGAGAAAAGTCAGTATTTTGAAACATATATAGGGAGCGTAACATTTTTATTGTACTATTCATTAGACGATTATCATAAATATGGTGTTTTTACTCTTCAGAGAGTAGCCGATTATAGGAATAAAAGAGTATCTCTTCTTTCATTTATATCTGCCATTGTTCTGAGTGCATTTCGTCGAAGGAGGTTGTTTCGGAAAACATTGATGACGACCTATACTTTTATTAGTAGTTCGCCGTTACGTCCCCCTTATAATAATTTCGCTATTAACGTTAATATTTCGTGCTGCTAGAGTTAGCCATATTATCAATAGTGCGTAGTCTTCTTGCTATAAAGACTATCGCGGAACGCAAACATCCGATTCTTGTTCGCTTGGCTCGTCTTTTTACGATACTTTTGAGAAAATAGCACTTTCGAGCATTCAAGATTGTAAAAAATATCCTGGACCTTTGGATACGATTAAAGTCTCACTATAAATGCTTTGAAGCATTTGATTAAACTTGAGAAGAAAGAATTTTACTTACGAATTGACTAATCAAAGAATATTCAAAACATTTATAGTATTACGTTGACCATATCCTTTTGCGAACGTTTCAACAATCCATTTTTATAAATATCGAATATTTTCTGTTTATGTGAATTACATTAATAAATTTTATATTAACACGTGTTTTTTTTTAGAAATTTTCTGAAACATCAATGAATATTTCCACGATTTGTCGTAGCAATTGTAATAATAATTTGCGATAATATGACCGTTTTTAACTTTTTAAAACTTTTTAGTAGACAACTTGATGACATTTGATGAAACTATAGGAATGTTCGGCGAACAATATTTGCAGAATTTTACACATTATGTGCAAGAGATGACTTTAGTTTCTGATGTTGCGCCGTTTCGCAATATAACTGCGTACAATTAGATGTTCGTAAGATTTTCTACTCGAAATATTTTGTTTCTCTTCAAAAGCACGTGATTTACGCCAAAGACGGACATTACATTCGTAATTATTCTCTGCACCCAAGCCATACGCTCTTTAAATGTGCCCTAGACTAGTTTTGCTC